CCGGAGCGGCCCGGCTGAGCGGTGCAGAAGTCAACTGAGCACCATGATGGGAGGGAAAGGGGGGGGCGGGGCAGTGACGTGCAGCGTGACATCAGCTCCAGGTCCTGCCCCCTGGCCATGAACATCACCGCCCCACCCCCCCTTTGCCTCCCGCCGTGGCGCTCGGCTGACTTCTGCGTCCCTCAGCTGGGTCGCCGTGTGGGAGCAAAAGGCATGAGTGACCGTTTGGACACTGTGCTCCCCATGCAGCATGGGGAGCGCAGAGCCCAAACGGCCATTTGGGCGCCACGGTCCCCCAACTGAGAGGCAGGAGGGGAAGGAGAAGAGAAAGAGAGGCAGGAGGCAGAGGAGAGGGAGAGAGAGAGAGAGAGAGAGAGAGGAGGAGGTAGTAGTAGGAGGAGAGAAGACTGACATGGACGAGAAACCTGAAAATCCCATCTTATGACGGGCTAACTGGCTAGTATAAGAAGAAAAGCCAAAAAGGACTTTGAAGAACAGCTAGCCAAAAACTCAAAAAGTAATAGCAATGTGTTTTTTAAGTACATCAGAAGCAGGAAGCTGGCTAAACAACCAGTGGGGCCCCTGGACGATGGAGATGCTAAAGGAGCACTCAAAGACGATAAAGTCATTGCAGAGAAACTAAATGAATTCTTTGCTTCAGTCTTCACAGCAGAGGATATTGGGGAAATTCCCAAACCTGAGTCATTCTTTTCAGGTGACAAATCTGAGGAATTGTCTCAGATTGAGGTGTCAATACAGGACTTTTAGAAAAAATTGATAAACTTAACAGTAACAAGACTGGACCAGATGGCATTTACTCAAGAGTTCTGAAGGAACTCTTGAAATTGTGGAATTATTAACTGTGGAATGCAACCTATTATTTAAATCAGCTTCTGTACCGATAACTGGAAGATAGCTAACACCAGTATTTAAAAAGGGCTCTAGAGATGATCCTGGCAATTATAGACCGGTAAGTCTAACATCAGTACTGGGAAAATTAGTTGAAATTATAGTAAAAAATAAAATTGTCAGACACAGAGATGAACATAATTTGTTGGGGGAAGTCAACATGGTTTCTGTAAAGGGAAATCCTGTCTTACTCAACAAACATGTGGACAAGAGGGATCCAGTAGATACAGTGAATTTAGAATTCCAGAAAACTTTTGACAAGGTCCTTCACCAAAGGCTCTTATGTAAATTAAGTTGTCATGGGATAAGAGGGAAGATCCTTTCATGGACTGAGAACTGGTTAAAAGTCAGGAAACAAAGGGTAGGAATAAATGGTAAATGTTCAGAATGGAAAGAGGTAACTAGTGGTGTTTCCCAAGGGTCAGTCCTAGGACCAATAACAACTGATTTATAAATGATCTGGAGGAAGGGGTAAACCAGAACAACAGGACACTTGGTGACCAAAGTAGCACCGGTTCCTTATGGCTGCAATGCCAGTATCTGTCATCCCTAAACTGTGGGGGCAAAGTTTGTTTGGGGCAAAGGGGGAGAATACATGCCTATCATAAGAACTGCATTAGCAAGGATTGAAGGATCTTGGTTGCCAATCCTCCAAGGTCAGATTATTGAAATTTAAACTTTCTCCTGAGTAAGCAGATGAAGTCTGTTCAGACACATGGCATCCTAATGGCTGTGTTGAGGGTCTCCCTTCACGAGTCTAATCTAAAATAAAGATTCTGCTAAGTAGCTGGGACCAGGATGGAGTCTGCATCTTGTACATGGACCAAATGTCAATCCTCCTGTAAACAGAGATGGGCAGTGTGCTGCAGAACCTGATGAGGCATCAAATGAGGAGCTGCAAGGGAGAAATGTGCCCTTAAATGGGAAACTGGAAGGTTGTGTTATTTCTTATAAGTAACTTGGGAGCTGAGGTGCGAAAGGCAACAAAAAGGATTCTGGTTTGGAAAGAGTCCCATATGAAGAGAAATTAAAAAGACGTGGACTTTTCAGTTTAGAAAATAGGAGACTGGGGGGGGGGGGGGATGGTGGGGGCCGGAGACTGGGGGAGGGGGGGTATGATAGAGGTCTATAAAATCATGAGTGGTGTGGAAAAAGTGAATAAGGAAAAGTTATTTACTCATTCCCACAATATAAGAACTAGGGGGTCACCAAATGAAATTAATAGGTAGCAGGTTTAAAACAAACAAAAGGAAGTTTTTCTTCACGCAGCTCAGAGTCAACCTGTGGAACTCCTTGCCAGAGGTTGTAGTGAAGGCTAGGACTTTAACAGGGTTCAGAAAAGAGCTAGATAGATTCATGGAGGTTTGGTCCATCAATGGCTATTAACCAGGATGGGTAGGAATGGTGCCGCCAGCGTCTGTTTGTCTGGAAATGGGTAACAGGAGAGGGGCCACATGATGATTACCTGGTGTGTTCACCCCCTTTGGGGCTTCTGGTATTGGCCACTATCAGCAGACAGGATACTGGGCTAGATGGACTTTTGGTCTAAGCCAGGATGGTCATTATTATGTTAAGCCGAAATAGCTTAATTCGGCTTTTGGTGCTGTCTACACAGCAGAAAGTACTTCCCTTACTCTTGAAATGAGGCGGAGTAAGAAGTCCTCCAGCTTGACATTATTTCAAAATAAAAGCTTGCTGTGTAGATGTGCATGATGTTATTTTGGAATAACATCAGTTTTTCTGAAATAACGCTGCTGTGTAGACATACCCGGAGTGAATGGGATGGTATAACCTGACCGTATCTCCAGTACCTAGTGATTTGTGGCGTGGGGTGTCCACGCAAAGTGGCATGGTTGTAATCAATGACCAAAAGTCTGGGTATTTTGTGGAAGTTGTGCTAGATGTTGGGGGAGGTCAGTTAGACCCTCAACCAAAGCTTCAAAACTGCATCTTGGTGGCTGGTGCTTGTGATGCTGTGGATTGAGTTTGAGACAGTCATTGTCTGTGTGACCAGTGTCAAGTTTCAGTTGTCAAACGGTCACCATGGGAGCTGTGCTGGGTTGTCCCAGTCACGGTGATATGATTGGTACTTCCTACATCTGCTTGGGGATGTACAGGCGCCCAAGTTTGGAGTGTTGCAGGGGGCGGGCGCCTTCGCTGAATGTAGGACATCGTCCATCTTAGTGGAGAAAAATGTCTCAGTCGAATAGGAGGGCCTCCCCTTTTGTCTGGAGTTCCTGAGGCTTGTAACCAAGAGGCCCCCACCTGACCACAGCTTTAGCTGTTGTATGGTGACCAAGTCCATGACATCAAGAGATGCTTGTAACACTGTCTGTGCTACAAGTTGTCCTTCCATCAGGACAGATTGAAATTGTTCTCTCTTGTCCAACAGTATGTCCGCAAGGAATTTATGGAGCTTCTGGTGCTTGTCTTGGTAATAACTAGCAAGTACGGCAGTACAGCTGGCTTTGTGGAACCCGAGTGTTGCCAATGAATACACTTTGAAACCAAACAAATCCAGTCTCTTAGGGTATGTCTAGACTACATCCTTTTCCGCTTTTTTTGTAAGAGGCTTTTCCGAAATTTGGCCCGTCTACACTGGGCCAAATTTCGGAAAAACCCTCTTTTGGAAGATCCCATCTTCCTTGTGGAAAGAGGAAGACAGGGCTTCTGAAAGAGCGCATCTGCTATTCTGCAAAAAAAGGCGGAAGATTCAGAGCTGGGGCGGTAGCTAGTTCTCCAGTGCTTTATTTGTATTGAAAAAGTTGTCAGGGCCCCACCACAAATTAAGCACTGGTGGGCAGCCAGAGACCATCGGTGCCTCCTGCTATGTTCCACCCTCACCTGTGTCACCAGACATCACACAGAGTAAAGTGTCTTCTGGTCTTGTCCCAGGTAGCCCTGTAGGAGGTGGCGAGTGACTGACCTGTCAAGCTGAGAGCTGGAGCCCCAGCAAGCCCTGGTAACTACACTATCTGGGCAGTCACCTAGACCGCACCTTCCCTCCTTCCTGCGTGATGCAGACAGACACTGTTACTGACATCTGAAGTGGAGCACCCACAGGGACATCCCTCAGGGAAGAATCAGATCTTCTAGCTTGGTCCCTGTGTGATTTCAATTACTCACTTGAACACCCTGGTCTGGAAGAGCAAGGTCTCCTTGAACTGCACCAAGTTAGTTTCCAGCTTGAACTGGGTGTAATCCACAACAGCGCTGATTCGAAGTTCTAGCTCTCGGCTGCTGTCCTCCAGAAAGGTGTGGGCAGGCTCGGGGTCCGTCTCTATCACCTCCAAACACAAACGAGAGAGAAGCAGCAGTGACCTGACTAAGCACTTGTGCCCCTCGCGTCTCTAGAGCCAGACTTGGGACCATCAAAAGAGAAAAGGCCTTTCAGAGCAACCAAGCCCAGTGCTCCTTCTGACACTCGTTCCTCTGCCACTGAGCAGACACACCTCCTGAAAGACGGACAGCTGCCCATGGGAACACTCTGAGGCCGCTGTGCTTCAGCAGAGGGGTGGGGAACTGGTGCCTGCAAACCAGGGCTGGTTAAAAAGCATAAGAGCCCATGGCCAGGGGTAAAGTGGGGCTGAATTCCCTTTCCACCCCCAGTGAAAACCAGCAGGGTGTCTGGATCACGTCGGGACAAAATGATTGATTGGAGAGACCTGGAGGCACTGCTACTTCTGAGGGACAAAAATAATATTTGGCTTCTAGGACATGTAACCTTCCACAGCTTTGAAACATGCATTGCCTCTGGTCCTCGGTTTGACCTGGCAAAAGCAGTACAGAGAAAGTTCTTGAAGAAAACTCATGGGACTATAGACTTTAAGGTCAGAAGGGACCATCATGATCATCTAGTCTGACCCCCTGCACAGTGCAGGCCACAGAATCGCGCCCACCCCTCCCAGAATAATCCTCTCACCTATGTCTCAGATATTGAAGCCTTCAAATACTTTTTAGACCCCAAGATGCAGAGAATCCTCCAGCTGTGATCTGTGCCCCATGCTACAGAGGAAGGCGAAAAACCTCCAGAGCCTCTGTCAATCTACCCTGGAGGAAAATTCCTTCCCAACCCCAAATATGGCGATCAGCTAAACCCTGAGCATGTGGGCAAGACTCACCAGCCAGACACCTAGAAAGTTCTCTCTAGTAACTCCTATCATCCCTCCATTGACCTATTTCCCACTGATAATGAATGGTCAATTAGTTACCAAGATCGTGTTATCTCAAACCATCCCCTTCATAAACCCATCTAGTTTAATCTTGAACCCAGCTAGATCTTTTGCCCCACTACTTCCCTTGGAAGGCCGTTCCAGAACCTCACTCCTCTAATGGTTAGAAACCTTCGTCTAATCTCAAGTCTAAACTTCCTACTAGCCAGTTTATATCCATTTGATATAACATCTGTATGACCACCGGAGCTGACCTGCTACCTCCTGAAGATGCCTGCTAACACTTGCTGCATAATGCGATCCTGCACAGTCATGATTCATGAGGGAAATCTCAGCTGTTAGAATATGGAAAGTCCTCACTTCAAACACGGGGAGGGTAAGAGAAACACACTGAGGAAGTCATGTTCTTCTTCCCCAAGGACCCTGCAGCTAGAACCCACTGGCTCCAATTCCCATCTGACTGAAATCAGACCAAGGCACTTTAAGGACAAAAGGGCCCATTGGCTCATCTGCTCTGAGTTCCGTTAGAACAGAGGCACAGGACTCCACCCACACGGCACTACATGGCTTACACCTATTCCCAGAAAGGCCCCCAGTCTGGATTTGAGGAGAATCCACAGTGACAGCGGCCCTTGGCCTTTAGCTCATACAGGAGTGGCTCCCAAGGCTGTGGTGTTTGTTTCACTTGCTCTCACAATCCCACTTCTTACTTTCTTCTTTGCTGGGCGCGTGGTCGTCAGGCACTTTGCAGTGTCTACCCACTTGACGGTGTGCAGGCTGTCGTCCCAGTCAGGGACCTGGTCTGCAGGAAGCTGGAAGGTGATTCTGGACACCCTACACTTAACCACGTGCATTCTGAAGGTGACAGGAACATTCGATTTCAAGGTCACCGTGATGTCCTTAGCACATCCAGCATGGAGGTGGCCAACCTGGAGAGGATCAGAGAGCCAATGCCACGATTTCGTCCGTGGTCACTCAGGAAGGGACAGGAGGCACGTCTGCATTTTCCAGTCAGTGACTGTGGTGCCAGATTCACCTGTTTATTGCCCACCTCGGCAGTGATGGGGCACGCTTCCCTTCCAGCCCCCAGCCACAACACACTGGCTGGTGGGGACTGCCTGTAGGAAGATGCTCCACCTGGGTCTCATGGGAAGATGATTCAGAGCTGAATGGCAGCCTCTTGATGACACCGCAACCCACAGCCACTCACTCTCCCCTCAGAGGCCTCATGCCATGGGGTGTCTGGCCCTGCACGTGACACAGGTTCAGCTCCCGTGTCAGAACAGCCCCCCCCAGTTCAGCAGCGGAGGGGGCAGCGTGGCAGCAGGGCTGATCAAGGGGTTTTGGGGGTCAGCTGTAGAGAGCAGTGATGTCGACGACACAATAACTGATGAGCCTGGGCTTACTGGTTAATCTTATCAACTATGCCCACTCCCACCCAGCATAGTGGAGCAGGCAGAAGCAAGGGGGAGAGGCTGGAGCCGGTGCCCGCGTGGAGGTGCCGCCTTGCTCTGGGGCCATACTCTGCTATTGACACACAACGTGCTGAGGCCACGGGGAAGGAAACACAACCTGTTCTCTGGATACCTGGGGGGAGAAGACAAGTGGAGACGCAGCAGGCCAGTCAAACCTCATCACATCTGCTTTGCTGCGATTGGTCATCGTGAAGGTCACTTGGTAGGGCTCCCCAACGTGACAGTCCCCAAACTGGATGTGATCCTCTCTGGCAGCTAGGAAGAGCAGAAAGGGGGGTCCTCACAGCTCTGGTTATGGCACAGTGCCCTTCCTTTCAGACATGTGACACCCTTTCCAGCCACTGGCATATATCTCTAGGGATGTTAAATTGCGGGTAATCGACTAATCGAATAGTCGATGCATTTTGCATTGACCATTCGACTAGTTGGTAGGGGTTCTCTGCCTTTCAAGTGGAGAAACAGCCCTAGGCCAGTTACTACACTTTAAAGGAGAAAGCCCCACATGGAGCCCGGGGTCAGCTGGGGACTCCCCACTGACCCTGGGTTCCCTGCGGCGCTGCTACTTTGAAACGCTGTGGGAACCCGGCATCAGGCTCCTCCCAGCATTTCAAAGCGGCAGCACTGCATGGAGCCCGGGATCAGAGACACACAACCCCAGCTGGAGAGCAGGCACAGTGGGTAGGATCCTACCCAATTTACTGTCTATTCTGCTCAATTTCATGGCTGGAAGGTTGTACAATTTCATGTTTTCAGACGTTTATATCTGAAATGGCATAGGGTATGTCTACACTGCCACTCTAGTTCGAACTAGGGTGGCTAATGTAGGCATTCGAAGTTGTAAATGAAGCCCGGGATTTAAATATCCCAGGCTTCATTTGCATCTTGCTGGGCGCCGCCACTTTTAAATCCCCGTTAGTGCGGACTCCGTGCCTGCGGCTACACACGGCACGGAGTAGGTAGTTCGAATTAGGCTCTCTCATCCGAAGTACCGGTACTCCTTGTGGAACGAGCCTAGACATACCCATAGTGTTGTGGCCATGGGGATGCCAATCCAGAAGTCATGGGGGGATTGCAAAGCTGATGTAGGGGGCTTATGGGACTGCCACCGTCACGGCGCTGCCTTCAGAGCAGGGCACTGAAGCTGTGGAGACTCCTGCTGCCAGAGGAAGCACCCAGAGGTGCCA